GACTCTCAATGAAAGCAAATATTTTCTTCATTTTTTTTTTTCCCAATTTTTGAGCCACAAACATTTTGTCCATTTATCCAACAAGGTTTCCTCCATTGTAATTTGTAACCAACCCTAATCTTTATACTATCATTAGAAGGCATTTGATTGAAATTGACATGAAATGGCAAGACATACAATTCCCATTAGTTCCAAAGTTGAAACAAACTCCTAACTATTGGCATTTGATTGAACATTTTCAGATTCCATCTATTTCAGCCTGCATTGATAAATTAATCCAATAATCATAGGAGGCGTCATTGTATGATGAACCAGCAGGGAATATGGGCTCTTGCAGCCAACACTGAGTTGGAGGATTGGATAATGTGAATCCAGGATCTGTAAATATTGCCTCAGAATCCTGCACAATGTGTGACTGTGCCCACAAACTTTGTAGTTCACCAAATGTTTCAGATGCACAAATGTTCTGCTCTGCAATCTGGTCTTTATTATGATCAACATGAACAGGACCAGAGCTTGATGAAGTTGACGTTGTCTCCAAATTTGATGCCTTTGGAGCTTCACCCAGAAGAAAGAGTTCAGTTTCAGAAAACTTCTTCTTCTTGTCATTGAACACTTGTGCTTCTTGTGCTGGTTCAGTCGCCTTGAAGCGTTTTTTCAAGTGGGTGTGCCAGTAATTTTTAATTTCATTATCTGTTCTTCCAGGAAGTGTTGCAGCAATAGCAGACCATCTAGAAAGAAAAGAAAAATGGATGAAACTGCACAAATTGCTTAATCAGAACATGGATTTCCAGTCCGTCCTAAACTGAAACTTGCACGCTTATTCTTTTATCAAGTTTTTAATGCAAATTCATAAGTTTTAACTGGTAGATAGTTGCAGAGCTATACAATACTTACCTATTTCCCATTGTTTCATGCAACTTGAGTATGGCCTCCTCTTCCTCCTTGCTGAAGCTTCCGCGCTTGATATCCGGCCTCAAGTAATTCACCCAACGAAGCCTACAACTTTTCCCAGACCTTGCCAGACCTGAAACGTGGCAGACTATTATCATTGACATCAAAACTTTGAACCCCAAAAACAAACAGAAACTAAGTACCAAAATAAAAGGAAAAGAAACCTCTGAATGGCTTCATAGTTTCATACCAGCAGGTTTTGGCATCTGACTCCAATTCCAAATACCATATCTCTGAATGTAAGCTATCAACTTGTGATCCTCATCAGGGCTCCATGGCCCTTTCTTCACAGCTGCCTTCTCACACTGCTGACTCTTCACCATCTTCT